TTTAACATACAGTTTTTGTACAATGACCGGTTCTACAGACAAATCGACGGGGTAGCCATGGGGTCTCCACTAGGTTCCATATTGGCAGATATTTTCCTAGCTAAACTGGAGAACGAAAATGTGAGAGAGACAGTTCGACTTTTCGACATTTATTTTTTTTATTTTATTTTATTTTATACCTCGACGATAATTTTATCGTTTGTGATTCTCACACCAACCACACACAGCTTCTCGACGAATTCAACAAGTGTCATCCGGCTATTCGTTTCACTTGCGAACTAGAGAAGAGCGGATAGCTACTCTTCTTAGATGTGTTATTAACAAAGCGGGACAACGATGCCATCCAAAGAAGCGTCTTCCGCAAAACAACGTGGGTTGGACAGTACACGCATTTTTGTAGCTTTGGCCCCCTGAAATATAAACGCAACCTGGTCAGATGTCTAGCATACCGAACGCGTGTGATTTGCAGCGAGGATGCACTGCAGTCCGAGATACGTTTTATTCATGACATACTTCGGTCAAATGGTTACCCGGAAGCTTTTATTCGTAAACATATAAGTTTGAAGACCAACCCGAGCAAAATACCCGCCGTACCTCACAAGAACGTTTTCCTTACTGTGCCGTTTAAGGGCGACGATGCCCTGGAACTTTTTAAAGGACGTTTATCAAAAGCGATCTTTAGAACGTACCCTGCAGCTCAACCGCATAACCTCACTACCACTCGGCCCTTGGTGTCCCAGCAAATTAAAGATAAGTTGCCTCTTCAGTCCCAATCTTTCGTTCTGTCTTTTCACGTGCACTTGTAGTGTGCGATACATTCGACATACGACCAGGCGACTGTCAAAACGTATTACTGAGCACTGTCCCGCGGCCCTCTACAAAGGAACGGTTAGATCTATGTGTAGCTCCGTTCTCGGCCATCTCGTCGATAGTGGGCATTCTGTGAACAAATTGAATGCATTCAAAATTATTCACACTATACCCCGGAGATATTCCAAAGGGATAATAAGGCGAGGCGAGGCCGAGGCGATTGCAATTCGAATTTTCAATCCAGAATTATGTAATTAAAAAAAAGCTGGTCCAGACACTGTTGCTGCCCTGGCCTTGTCAGCGGATTGATTGTGCATAAAACAGAGCATCAACCGCCCCCTCCCCGTCCCTCTTTCCTTGCCTATAGTATCACCATTCCCAATCTTAAGAACTAATTATCTTGTTTTTTCTCTAATGTCCCTTCTTGATTACATCACTTGCTATGCATGACCTATAGTTTCTACCGTATATTACGTAACTTCATCCCGCTCTCTCGTCTTATCTCACAACCTTCATTTAATTTACTCATCTCTCGAACGTTTATCCATTTGACCTTTGTGTTCTCACCCCCATCCACGACCATCATTAGCCTTGTCATATTCGTTTGATCTGTTTGCTCGCCCCTGTCATCGTTACTAACTGAGCTCTAATCGGCCAATTAGATATCTGTATTATGATCACCTTATATATGTCAACGCTTGATGCGATATATCGAAAAGAAATTTCTTCGCGAATACCGTTTTCTACATTGTCTATGGGACTATCTTACGATTCAAAACAAATCAGTCAGCTCACTTGTCTACTACCTTGTTTGAATGACTCATTTCAATTCCGATGCTTTTTGTTTGAAAGAAAGACTTATTGCTCATTGAAGCTTATGCCACTTGGAAAAAGGAACGGAAGTTCGTCAAACTTACTAGTGAAAAGGGATTTAATTTAGATGACCTCGACTCGTGGAACTAATACTAGCATTGTCTGTGGAAAGAGGGGGACTTCAGTAGGCTGATTGGCGATCGAAACTCCGTGCCATATCAAACAATAGTTCGACCGAACTTGTTATGCTGCATGCAGTACAAGATTCGGATGCATATATTCAATCACTGGAGCAGCACCTTAAGAAGGTAATTGCACTGAATGTTCACCTTGAAGCCATATTGCAGCATGACCTCATCCTGTTTCATTGCTCTTTACTAGAAAAATACTGGGTGTTATTTCGCTGTATCAAAACAATGGTGTGGCCTGCGTGCAGTCCAAATTTGAACCCGATAGGAAGGATTTGGGATATTTTTACGGTAAATGTGTGTCACCATTTCAGAGTTTACACCAAGAAGACATGCATAAGAAGTATTGTTGATTGGGGAATGAAATAAGATTACTTTAGTCCATGGAATCTCTATGGGGGTGCGACGTTCGGTGAAGGTTTGTTTTCTTTTCGATTTATTTTCTCTAAAATTAAAGATAATTTGGTGAAATTTCATGTTTCAGCTTTTCATTTATTTTAGCCTAGATTCTCAAAAATGATGATAATGTGGGGGCGGTGATAATGAAAAAATCTAGGTATGTCCACTACTTTTGTCGCGGGGCTCGGGATGCTGGTGTTGGTGTTGATGTACTCTCTCAGCTGGAAGTGCGGTTCGCAAAGCTTTTGCTTTTTTACTGACATCGCATTTCGTGCATGTTTAGGAGTCCCACTGCCATTGTCAAAACGTTAGAGTGGGCGTAGAACCCAGAATGAACAGTCGTACGACCTGTGCTTATCCCAGTGGAATCGTAACTGCTACCACGGTATGTGTTCATAACTGTTGCTAATAACTGAGCGCACAAAACACTGCACACATTGCGCATAATCATTCAGTTAAACTATTTCTTATTAACTCAAAAAGCAATGCGCCCACTGGTAAATGTTATGTAAACCCGCATAAAACAAATATCGCTCTGTAATTTTGGGTAACATAACAGAAGTGAAAGGACTAATATGCTGACACAAATCAATATCACAGTGGCATTACCAGGTTCGCCGACCAATAGTTCCGTCGTTTTATAACGTAAACTCGGTAACCAAACTCTGCAAATGCTTTTGCTTGAGGTTTGATAAAGATTCGAGCTACACGTCAACGGTCTTTCCGGTTCCCTTTATAAAGTGTTTTGACCCGAAGCGTATGCGGTGGGTCTTTGAAATTTTTTCACCGTCTGTATCTATCTACCGTTCCCCGAAGCAGCTGTGCTTGTGAAATTTTTCTTACCATCACTTATAATTGACCGTTGACTTCTCTTAATATTACTTCTATGGCCTGCTCCGAACGTTCAGTAATAGAGTCGTAGTTCGAAAATTTAATGGGAATAAATTTTATAAAATGGCACTTTTTTCCTCTCTATACAAATTTTGCATCATTGAATGATATTCTTTTACTTTCTAGTATATTCCTTTATCTCATATTTACTATATAAAGTACACCGTTTTCAGAAAGAAAGAGGCTGTCAATCGATGGGGTGCTACTTAGAAGATAGGGAAAGTTAGTCAGGGGTAATGGAATTTGAACTCGGGACAGGACAAATGTAATCACTGAAGCAACTAGAACTTAGCAAGTATTTGTGCCCGTCGGAAACCAAACAAACAGCCCGTGTGGCTATTATGTATTCAACGGTTTCACTGTCGGTGTACAGGAATTGAAATGGACTGTGATTGCCTCTTAAGTGATGCGTAGTCATGTGTGTATGTGTGCAAACATCTACTGACGATGATAATTGTCTTGCCATGTCTGCCATGTGGCTTATGTAGAATGAGGGAGAAAACCAGCCATATCAATCCACCAGTCTGCCACGTGACCTGTCCGTCTGTTCTTCATCACGCCCACTGCGATCGCATTGGTTAAGAGTTAAAAGCCAATCAGAAGTCTGTATTTTACTAAAGGAGAATTTCATACACACTGGTCAGGTTTGCCACGTTAGTGTGCGCGATTTCAGTACTAGTTTTTCGGGGGTATGTAACAGAATGGTGCGAAGATCACGAGGATATGGTTACATATGTTTGCAGATGACCACCGATCGAGCTAGTGGCCCGGTGCGAGACAACCAAATCAACAATCTGCGTCAAATGAAAATGGACGTAGAGGAACAGTTGTAAGATGGAACCATAGTGAAAACTGCAACGAACAGTATGTTTTATCCATCCCCCATACCTCTCACAATTTACTTCAACGTGATTCCCAAATGAATGGTTCAATCATTTGAGGGAACCATGTAACGCGCATCACTATGGAGTTTCTTTCCTACGAGCTTTCAGATGTGAAAAGACCGGTAGAACACCTACCCCATACTTCTCACTGTGATAAGTCGGGTGTTTCTCGAAAACCAAAGCAGAATTCGTACTCATTATTTAGAAAACAGGACCCTAATGCCAATAACGTGGCTACTGAAACACAGAGTTGTGAAGAATTGCGCACACCATCACATTTTTCGCGGCCCATACGTCGCTATCGAGCTGCTCGTTGGTTTATACAACATATCATGGGAAGGACAAATGCAAACACTAAATTGAATCGGTTATCTTATTCCGACCCACTATGTCGTGAGAAACGCCTGCCACCGGAGTCAGTAGTTCCCTTGACCAGTGAGGATATCAAACGCTATCGAGCCCGATCCCGACGCTGTACATTGAATGTTGGCGGTGAACATCATGAGGTATTGTGGGAAACATTGGAACGCATTCCAAACTCCCGACTGGGCCGATTGAGTCAATCAACCAATCCCATGGAAATATACTGCCTGTGTGATGAGTACGTGCCGGAAAAAAACGAGTTCTACTTTGATCGGCCAGCTCGTTCATTCAGTGCGGTGCTTGGTCTGTATCGGACCGGTCATTTACATATTGTGGATGATGTGTGTGTAATTGCCCTGAAAGACGATCTAACTTATTGGGGAATAAGTGAACACTTGATGGACGCCTGTTGCTTGCATCGATACTATCAACGTAAAGAACAAATGGAAGAAGAGATTAAAAAGACCAACGAAATATGTCTCCAACAGGCCCAAGAAGATCAGTTCGGAAGTGGCAAATTAGCTAATTTGAGACGAAAAATCTGGGATTTGGTGGAGAAACCTCAAACATCCATGGCAGCTAGAGTGAGTTATTAGTTCTGCTACATAGAACTATGTTTATTCTATGAAGTGTGAAATTTTAAATCCTAATCGCTTTGGCAGGGCAGTTTCATCAACCAAATCGTTTTCCTCGTAAACTCTATCAGTTTAAGTGTTGTGCTTTTGTCTTCGGCATCTTCATTGATGAATATTATTTGCAAAATTTCAGAGGGAATCTGAACGGATATGTAAAGGCATATTTTAACTGTCCTTTGTATTTTGACTGTTTCTCGTGTATTCAGTAAATAATTCTCTCCGTCTGCCGTCAACTACCTTAGCCCCTTTGACTTAGTGTTTGATTGGACTAGACAGCTGCTACATAAATAAACAGATATTGCGAAACACACCTCCTTTCAAACGGAATATTGTGTTGCTTTTGACTGAAACGATCGATAACAATTGTCGGTTAGTATGTTCATTTTGCAATCAAGTGGACAATAGTCCCGTGACGTTGTCAGCGGTATCAAGGTTTAGATAGCTTGGGAAAACTTGATGGTGTGCTTGTCCACCAATTCTTCGGTCTTTCCGTGACTAAACGTTGACAGAAAACTAGCGAACTATTGGTTGTCCATTTAGTAGAAGTCTGGAAAGGGAAAACTACATCTTAGTTTGATTTTTGGTTGCTCTTTACAGTTTTTATCTGAGGGTGAATAACAATGGGCTTCATTCGTTTTCAGCTGCATCCATTTTTGCAAATATTCAGAACATTTGATGCAGTTTAAAGTAAAATAAACTGCTCTGTTCCGTAACTAAAGACAAGTGAGGAAACAAACCACCATCAATGTTTCCGCATACTGCCCTCAAACCAGAGGAGCAAAAATGAAAATGGATAATCTTTCGTAATTATGGTCCAGTTATTATGATCTTCATATTTTTGTGTGACTTCATTCAAAACCATTCAACATTTTGATATGGGGATTCGGCCAAGGGCAATAGAACAACACCGATTGATTTGGACACAAACATCTAATTTTCAGTTTTTATTGATTTTCCAGATCCTAGGTTTTAAGATTAAAATAGTGTACTTAGGACTGGGTATGCAGAAGTCCGTGGTGCACGTTACACCGAGACAAGTTATCTCTAGTGTGGTCTGAAATGAAAACGAACCTTCAAGTGTTTAGGTAATCATAGATCCTTTCCACCACTTTCCCCGTTGAATTATTGGTGAATAAAAATGAGAAAAAACACGTGATTGCATGCAAGGTTGAATAGGTGAGCAATAAGATCAGAACTGCATCCGAGTGACAAGCTCAAACAAGGACTCCTGTTGGGCAATCGATTGCCGATTGCTCACCTGATAGTATCATCAAATGTTTCTTGCGTACTCAAAAATTAAAGCGAGTAACGCTCAAAGACTGTTGCAAAATCGTCCGAAAGAATCGCTGGAGCTATTGTTTGTCAAACGATGTGGCAACAGCAAATCATCAGCATCTTGAGCATGGGAGGAGAATAGTTATCACACTTCAATCGATTGATCTGAAAAAGGTTCAACAAGTGGGATCGGAAAGTTGACACTTCATTTTGTATTGTTCCTGTTTCTATCATTCAGGCTAGTGAAAAATATTACACTTGGCGTCTTTTTCTATGGGTGCGATGCACAAATTCTCCACTAACAAACGTTTGTATTTGGATCCGTTATCCCTAAGAGGCTGACCACCTTCGAATGAATTCCTGTCGTGATATTTCGGACCTTACATTTGCAAGGAGAACACAGTAGCAAACATCTGTGATAAAATAAATCCAAGCCACAGTCATTATCGCACGAAGTGCGTTCCAAACGTTTCCGTTGCTGCACACATATTTATCACTTTAAATTAGAAATTCCATCTGCATCAAAATACGCCTATTACTAGCCTTGAGTGAAGAATAACGCATTTGAACGAAACAAATTCTCACTGACTCGGAGTTTTCCGCTCGATTTGCACCATTCATAACCGCATGCAGTGCAAAACTGCGTAAATATGTGCATCATCTTGTTTCATTTTTAACGAATTCAAACAAATTGCACGCTCTGTGTGATCAACAATATCTGTTTGATTAGACTAATCCTCTCAAAAGGCATTCAATGGGAGTTATCGATTCTTGCGACGGTTCTAGTGGGCTTCTCCTCTTTGGCTATTCCTGACAAGGATTTATATCACGAACACCTCAACCGCATTCCTTATAGTTTTTAGATCAAATCTACTAGAACAATCACCGGTATGAGTCTGTGACAACTGCGGTGGTCAGATGTATCTAACCTATACAAACACTTAAGTCGATTGCATTGTAAATGAGTGGGTGTGCACAAAGTATATGAAAGTTTACAACAAATCTCGGTGAGGCGGTTAATCAATAATGTTATAGTCTGAGTGACCAGACCATTTATTTATCAGCCCCTTGCTAGGTCAGTCGTAGTAACTTCAATGTCCTTTAAAGAACTATTCTGAAGATTCATACGAAAGTCATTGTTTTGTTACCATCAGGTTCATAGGTTGCTCCAATGGGTCCTCTACAATTAAGCTACTGGTAGTTCTTTCCCCTCTGAAGATCAAACAAGAGTGAACTCGAAGAAGTGAACATTTTTAAAATTTGTATCAAGAGAAAAACATAAATGGGTTGGCATTTAAGTGATGGGTCCTCGGTGTCATCATTTTTTCTCCTTGTGCCGTCTCCTGTTTCGCCGCATGGCCTCGACTTTATAAAAAAAGTGAATAGCTNNGATTATAAAGAAAAGCCTTTTTTCATGTTTGTACCAAACAATTCCAAATTTGAAGCAAAAACATTGATTTTCTGATATATACATCACTGATAACACAAAAAGAATTGCTTTTCCTGTGGTTTAAAACGGATGTCGTTTAGGAATTTTGTGCTAGGACAACTTTTGGATTCATGCTCACTACCATGCGCGTGAATGTCACGTTGTCAAATTAGGCTAAATCATGGTGTTTGATAAAAAGTCAACCGTGTGATGTTAGTCACATTTATTGCATATTACCAGTTCCAGGTGTCCAGTGCTTCATTTTAGCGGTTTGTGAAGTCCTCAGTTCAGGTGCGTGTTTTAAACGAACAGAGACATTTACTGGAGAACAATTTCATTGCCTCAGTGTACTGAACCCAGTGTGAAGAGTAGGACACATCAATTATTTATAAACGGAGGTACAGGAGAATTCGATCTTGGAAATTCACACTTTGGGGGGGGAAGAATGAATAACAGCTAAAATCCCTGAGGGAATTCGCTAAATGGGTTTTTCTGTTATAGACAGCTATAATAAATGATTGATGACTAAAAAACGCGGATATGGTTGAATTACGACAGGCACATTTCCGGTGATTCAGGGTTTCTAAGATACTGGACATGCCTCCTTCTCAAAAAATGGTTCGTATTTTAATCGATTACACATGAGTAACTGTTCTGCGTCGGAGTATTTTCATCGCTGAATTCCGTGAAAATATGGAGTGTATAAAGGCCTCAAACGATTTAGTTAGAGTATAGCGCGATACATTTTTGGAACGACAGAACCCCAGAAAATAAACTACTTGCACCAAATAGACACCAAAATATTCAAGCAAACGAATTGATAACGGGCACGTCCTGAGATCTAAGTGAATTGAATACCTCAAAGAAATTAGACTTGGGCGAATCCGCAAGTTTTTGTCACACCTTGTTGACACTAACCACACCGTAAACGTAATCGAAGAGTTCTGACCCCCGTACTAAGTTAAAAAGAGATGTTCGAGACACGTGTGCGTTCGCATTCTAGTCACAGCGGAGATGGTATCCGTCTTCACAACCCCCTTTTGTCTGATCAGAAACAATCACTCAAGCTCCCATGATCAGATCACCGACAAGTGACCCTTCATAAAACGTTGGGACAAATGATAATTGACCCTTGACGCATTAGGGTCTGCAATATTAAAAGGGGGGTACCAATTATCAAGTGAACTGTTGAACATTTTAATTACTTTCCACTTCCTTTCTTATCTGCACCTGTTTATATATATTATGTTACTTACTTTTACTTTTGAGCTACCAACTCATGCGGAAGGACACGTCGGCTTCTCGGATGCCTCTAATGATGGTGGTCTATGGATGTAGCAAAGTTGATGCAGTGTGAGACCCATTTCTGGTTCCAGTGATGAATTTCATATACCGATTGGAGGCCCAGTAATTCCGAGTCCACCTTGATAGTACTGCTCCAGGTCTTCATTTGACCACCGAGTCGACAGTGCTATCCACGACACGGTGCGGAGGCTACAACCTGTCACGAGAGTTCAGTGCCGGGCCTTCGGAGCACATGGCCAAACTGATGAAGGCGCTGGCGTTTTAGCATTTTCTAATGCTTGTAGAACCTCATCATTAAAAATCCGACCTCTCCAATTTACTTACGAAATGCAGGGTAAGCACCAATGATCAAAGACCTCGAGCTTCTTTGTGTCTTGTACTCTTAGCGGCCATTTTTCACAACCACAAGTAAGATTGGGGCGGAAAGAAGCCTGTTAAACCCTAAACTTAGTGTTCAGGCTTATTTTGCATCGATTCCAGAACGGTCTGAAGAGCTGCAGGAAGGCTCTTCTAGCTCTATCTACACGGAGTTGGATTTCATCCTAAGCCTATTTGGTCTGATTGTCGAGCCAAGATACTGGAAAACTTCGGTTGATTTGACAAGCTCCCGCTTAATCAAGAGGGGTTCTAACGTGGCAGACGTTTCGCTCTTGGTTTTTGATGTGTTGATTTATACGACGGACAACAGGCTGGAGGTTGTCCATGGTGTCTCCAAGTACAACGACATTATCCGCAAACTCAAGTTCCGCAGTCCACGCACCTGGTTCAAGCTGCACTCGGGGCAGTCGACGAGTGCTTAACCCATTATCCAATCTAAGGTGTCATTGAATAACACCGGCAATAGGGGACAACCTTGTCTGACTCCATAGCTTAGAGTAAACTCGACCGATTCTTTTCCATAGGTACGGCGCGCGCTCGGGTCCCTGAGTAGTACGATTTTAAAATCCTGATG